TGATGATCATCTATGCCGAATGACTCGCCCAACTATCTCTATTGCTCGAACTCCGCAAAGACCGTGTGGAGGTGGGTGGACGCAGATGTCCATCATATTCTTTCGTCTCGCTCGCACTCCGTCTGGAGCTTCCCGAAACTCGACGTGATAAACTATTCGATTCACTTCCACTTTCTTGCCTCCTTTTTCTCCCGTCTTCGCTCACACTCCCGCTCATACTCCGCCTTCCTCTCAGTTGCTCCACATAACTCTGTTCGTTATCAAAAACCGAGTTCAACGGTTGATTTCCATCACCACCATAGACACCATTCTCCCGAATTTCACTCAACGTCTCCTCATGACCTCTCATTTGTTGATGCCATGAGGCACGCTTCACCCTCGTCCGATTCCTCTCACTCTCATCTTCGGAAATACCAGAACCGTCACCATCATTCGAGGAGGCCATGCTATTCCTATTCGTGCTGCTTCTCGACAACAAGGTAGCCTTGTCTTGGTTGCTTGACAAATCGCTTCTCTTACGACTCGGAGTAACCCTCGGCTGCTGCAGAGACGCCGAGCGAAAATGAGCCGCGTACTGTGGTGACGGGGAATAAATTTGTTGATGATGCATCGAGTTTCCTTGTCCTTGTGAACGATTTTGTTGATTCCCCTGTGATGGTGACCGCGGAATCGGTGGGGTCGTGCTTCGTGCGCTTCGCACACTTCTCTGATGCGCGTCTCCTGAGTTGTGGTCATATGAAGTACCCGAGTCCAGTTGCTGAAAAAGCGAATTATTCCCGTGAGATCCACTATTCCTATGATGACTCAATGAGCCTCCATTTTTTCCTGTCGTTGACGGATGATAGTTCGTGCTTTTGGTGACGGCAAACTCGGAATAAGGAGTTGGCAATGGTGCTAACAATAAGTCGTTGGTGGTGCTCGTCGGTCGTGATCCGGGATTGGTGGAAGGTCCGGGGTACCGCGGTGATGGGATGTGCGGATTTATGTAGGCGTGCATGTACGCAGGTTCTACCATCACGTCTTTCCGCGTTTCCACTATTATTTGTTGTGCGAGCGCATCTTCGATGGCGCTACCTCCCATCGGCATCAAAGGTGTCGTTGACGTGTGAATCCCATTGACTTCCCCCGTCTTCTTGCGCTTCCTGCTGAAACTGCCATCACTTTTCTCGATTCTCCCATTACTACCTCCGCGTGACTTCAGTCGTTTCGAATGCCTTTTCTTGTTGTGCCTCAAGTGAGAAGTCGAAGTGGCGGAATATTTCGAGTGGGAACTCTTTGTCTGAGAAGTCTCCTCCGACAGTGATGAGGTTGATGAGTTGGAATCCGAGTGCACTGGGGAGGTGTCCTGATGAGGAATATCGATGGTCATGTGATGATGGTTCATCTCATGAAACTCGCCGACGTCGAAATTCGAGTGATCAGGAATCTTTGGTTTGGTGAGATTGTAGGGGGAAGAGATTGTTCTTTTGGAAGAAGAAGGACACGTGCTAAAGTCCGGGTATACCACAGAGATCAGAATGATATAGGCAATGAATTGGCCAAAGGTTGAGTTCGCCGACAAGAAGTCTATGATAAACCTCGAAGAGAGATTCCCGTTGGGACCATTTGGTTGAATGAACAGCGAGTAAACACAGAGAAACAGAGCAGGGACGTTCCAAACGAACAAGGAGATGGTCAACCACATGTTGAGATCTTGGAAGAAGATGAGCTTGCTGTGTGTTTGGGGAAGGATGATGTTACGCGAGGGGGTGTTAATCAAGGTGGTGATGCCAAATTGGGTGCGGATGCATAAGAGGCAGATTAAGATGGATAAACAGGAGAATAACAGGTCAGGAATTAATTCCTTGTTCGGTACGATCGAGTGAAAGATGAATTCTAGAATTGGAAATCTAAAATGGCAAGAGCGAATCTTGTTAATCGCGTGGAGATGATCACCATTACCATGACAATCACATTCACCGTAACTTTTTCTCCTCACAGTTGCGGAGCAATGAGACTTACATCGGAAGTATCAAAATTGCCAGAACAAGATAGGTCCAATATTCCAGTGTACTGATGAATTGCCGTCGAGACAGTTGCCCCATCACTATACTCCAATAGACTTGCAAGGCCAATAAGCAAGTTCTGTGATGAAAAAAA